GCAATCCCCAAATCATCCACTTTGGCTTTTCATTAAAAAAATTGTAATTGGATAGACTTTCCACAAATTTTTTTTTAATTAATTCAAAAGCCTTGCTCCATGCAGCAAAAATCAAGACACACTCGGCACTGCAGTTATTTTAACATCCAACGAAGGATAAGTTTTAATTGATTGCGATGATGTAGCTTCAGGCTCAATTAAAATTAAGCCATTGTATGACATTAACTTGATTATTCAGCTTTTGTACGTGACTTTGAGCTTTTTGGGGTTGTGAGATGACATTTTTAATCAAATGGATGTTGAAAAATTTGATTATGCTGCTGTGCGGCTATGATGAAGATCTGCCTACTGCAGTTTATTTATTTGTTCTATTTTAGATGTATTCTAGTAGAATTAAGTGTTTATACTTCAATCACAAACAGTGGATGTGAGTAGGCAGATAAAGGGTCGTTTACTTATGACGTCCAAGATTTAAAATTTTCACATTGTGGCAGGGTAGGAGGGGTCAGGAAATTTTTGACATCCAATTTTGCATAAAGGAAATCAATTTTTTATAGATCATGATAACTCTGATTGGACGTCACAAGGGGGGGGGGGGAGGGGTACTGGCATATGTGATAGTTTTTTATGGACGTCATAAGTGAATGACCCCGAATAGATAACAAACTTAATTACTGGTGCTAATTAAAATGCCATTCAAAAGAATACTCGAAGTTCTGTTAATGAAGCATCACTTCATAAGGACTTAACTATTGTAAAGCCAAAAAAGGAGCATTTTATTGAAACTTCTAGCAACCTTAAGTTGTCAGCAATGCTGAAATTATTCGACCTCTAAAATAATTTTTATCAGACATAAATTTGAATTTTTGCATCATTTACATAATTTCTGTCACATCCTTACCGGCTATCGTTTATTGCAAGGACGTTTTTCTTTCCGCTAGTGCCAATGGCAATGATTATGAAATTATGGAGATGCTTAGTGACTGAAGATTATGTAATTATGATAATATTATTGAAACTTAATGAGAATTTCCAATTAGGAAACGTCAAAGCACTTTGCATCCTATCAGAGCACTTAGCTTGTTCATAATTAATTTTCATTGTTTCTGCAGTGGATTTAAGACACTTGAGTGAGTTGCTAAAAAAAATTATCAGCGAAAAACAGACTCAAGGTGAATCTTGTTGAAGACATTTTCGTTGACATTTTGTCATTTTTTTGTTCTTTATTTGATTTATGCTGAAAAATTAAATTTTCGTTGAATGAAAAGCTTCTCGAAAGATGAAGAAAAAAAATATTTTCATCAAGTTGACGTTTACAAATGACTGGTAATAAAAGTCTGCATGTGATATAAAGAAGAATTTTGCTCATGAATAAATTTTTTTGGTCTTCGTTTTAATTTCATTTTAAATTCAATGACTTTCAGTTTCCTGTTGGTGACATTCTATGTAAAATAATATCTTAGGTCTTCAGGATGTCTCTTTGCTTGTCATGTTGAAAACCTTTGTTGATTGGATTTTGGTGAAGGTTCAAGTGATGGATTTTTTGATTGAACCTTTTGACAGATTCAGCATTTTTTAGAGACATCAATTTTAGAATCTTGGGCTTGAAAATCCTGCAAAAAATAAGAACAATCCAAATTTTATTCCCAAAAATACACCAAATTTCATACCTAATTTATTTCAATTAAATTATTTAATGATTCCATTAAATTCCCACTTGAGTATGCATCTAAAAATAGCCAAGCACTTACTCTTCAATTATTCATTAATCTTCCAATTCAATTTATTCGATGGTCCGAAAAATAAATTTCTCAAACAGAAAAAAAATTCTTTGCTATTTAGAATTGGAAATCTTCTTCTGTCGTCTTCATTTTCATACTTGACAGAACACGAAGATGTTCAATCAATTCAAGTTTCACAGGAGATTTGAAGACAACTTTTTATCAAATTATCGAGAATGTTGTGGGATGAATTAATTTAACGAGTATAAATCAGTCATTCGCTTATGACTTTCATAATTTCAGGGGATTGTTCTGAATTGACACTTTTGACAAAAAATAAATTTTGAGACTAAGGTGGTTCGAATATCTAAAAGTTTTGTTTTTGAAGAATGTCATAAATGAATGAACCCTCAACTCAATTATAATAATTTGCGAAATAAGTTTGAATGAGCAGTATGGACACACCTTATAAATGTTTGATAAAATTAACTAATTAAAAGTATAACGATATGAACTTTGTGAAAGTCTTTACTAGATTGTTTTTGGCTAGACAGTCGGCAAATAAAGAAATAAAGCTTTGATATGTATGTTGTATGTAGCCATAAGCAATTATGCTAGATGAAGTGTGAGGCTTCTATGGCAGAGTGGTTAGGACCACATTTCTCTAACCCTCTTTTGTGAGGACATGGGTTTGATTCCAACCAGAGACTGACGTCTCTCAATTCATTAAATAAGAATGTTGTTTATGTGAAAAGGATTCGCACAATGGTCACGACTTTACACTCTTCTATGAGAAGTTTTGGATCTTCAGACAATTTTTGATGTCCTGAACAGTACCTGTCGTAAATAATAGCTCTGTTGCTGTTCAATATCATTAAATCGAAGAGCGTCAATCATTAAGAAATAGGAAAAATAATTTGTTTACAGAAAAATTGAGAAAGTTAAAGAGACTCGCTTAGTTCTTCTTTATAAGTCATTAGAAAACATTAAGATGGAAGGATGAGGCTTGGAATAATAAATTTCATAATCAATTTACATTTCAAGAAAGTTTTGTTTGTCTTCTTAGTAGCTGTGGTAAAAAGACTTTATAATATAAAAGCCTTGAGTTAGAGATGGTCAGTGATGAGTTCAAAGGACATTAAATAGAATTTTTAAATGACCTACGCAACTGTATCCTTAGCTTTTACAGGATTAAATTTTAATTACATCACGTAACTGGAGCAATTTATCAAAAACTTGACATCATTAAAATAAGCACGTGGCATTGATTTGAAAACATATGAACGCTTAATTATTAATTCCATCTATCAGCAATTAAGCTGAAGATTATTCCCAGTTTACCGGTTAATTTAATTTTAGTTGTGACTGCTTTTAGTACAAAACTGTCGTCTTTCTTTTTCGTCACGTGGAATTCATTTATAATTTAAATTTTCATCCCTCAATGCTGTTTAAAATTTCATGCAGGAAGAATACTTTAGTAAAGCTTTGCTATAAAATTGCGGCTTTTATGCAGAACAAAATTTTCAAAAATCATTAAAAAGTTTTTAAGGGTCATTGAATATCAGACTTTTTTAGTGTCTAGCAATTCCATTAAAATATTTTGTGAATAAATTTGATGTGAAATATTATATCAGAAAAGTTTTAAGTGCTTTAAGCACAACAGCTTCTCGAGATTAATTGTATTTTCGCACAATTTTAATTCTGAAATAAATGTTAAATTTAATATGATCTTTTGAAGCAAATTGGATAGATTAAGTTGCGGTAATATTTCATTTAGTACTTGGCAACGGTTTCATGGCTGAAACAGCTACATTTCAAGTCAGTTGTAAATATGAACATCCTCAAATAATCATAAGTTATCCACCTTTAAGGAATCACTCAATTTGAAGCAGGTTGAATGTTAACTTGATGGATATAGTCAATTATTCTAATCTAAACAACAATATCGTAGTTGATTCTTAGATATATCATTCAATTGAAGCATACTTTACATCATCATTCCTAGAAAAATGATTCCGGATTCCATCCAAATGAAAAATAACATGATTCCAATTATATTTCCGAAGAAAGAGAAAAATTGTTTCCATTAAAAGGAACTCTTTAATATGGAAACAATTTTTTTCTTCTCGAAGATCCACAGCCTTATTTACAGTATAAGTATCTGAAAGGAGGAAAACAACAGAATGGAATATTTTAACAATAAATTATACTTGAAGAAATTATTATAACAAAGTCAGTTGAATTTGTAAAATAGCAAATAAATGGAAACAAAATTGTGTTGAAAAAGATGGTGGAAGAACAAAAGGATGGTGTTTAAGGTTATGGAAATTTTAGAGAAGGTGATCAAGATTTTTCAGAAATGTAAATGAGATTTTGCCGATTAATAACAAATCAATAAGCGCTGTCTACTTATTGACAAGATCTGGAAACTGTTTAAGTTGTTTTAAGTCAATAAGAACCTTCATTATAATTTTCTTAGAATAACCTCACTAATTACTTTCTTGGTTAATTTACTGATTCTTGGAAATCAGTTCTTACATGTTTATGTATTTCCCTTTCATCACAAAATGATCAAACGTAAAAATTCAGAGAATCTTCATGTTTACTAAAAGCCAACTCAACTTAGTAATTAAGTTTTCTTATTACATTGACTAAAGACATTAAAGGTTCAGTAAACATTCTTCAGAATTTTATTTTTCAGAGCTGATAAAGAAACTTGAGAAAATTGAAAACACAACGGAAAAAGTTATGGAAGAAGTTTATGTAGGATGACAGGGAAGACCTTTATCACTGAATTATCTTTTATTGAAAATCTCTTAAAGGTAGCAAAAATTTCCGTGTGAAAAATAAAGTTCCAGGCAGCAAATAACCACGAAATTGAAACTTACCTTTTCAGGATAAAACGCTGCTCGGGAATCCTTTCAAAACAAAGCAAAACTTTTCCTCGGTACTATAGTGGTGAGTATCTCAAGTTATACTTAATTTAAATAAAATTTGTATACTTCTTGAAGCTTTTAGTGATTCTTTGTGTTACAAACCTTTTGGCTCTAAGCTTATTTTTATTTCGAAATGGAAAAGTGCATAATACACTTATTCAAATCATGAACAGTTGAAAAGCTCTGTAACAAAGAAACTCTTTTTCTACGCTAATACAATTTTATGTCTTCTTTTGGATTCTGTAATGTGAAAAAATTTTATTAAAAAAATAGAAAGAAACGAAATGAGATGATTTTTCATATCCCATTTTACATCAAGATTACAATTCTATATATCGCTTAATCACATAACCGCTTTAAATTTACATAATTTATTCTTCTTTTGATAATTTGAGGCACAATTTTTCTTTTCTTTTCTTTTCATTCTTAGCATGTTTATGTATATTATTTTGGTAATTTGTAGGAAAACATTTGCATAACAAGAAGAAACTTATGAATTTTTTAAAACCAAGGAATGAAATTCTCTTGATTACTTCATAAAAATTTGCAGGAAGGTTTCAGAGTTTATATTGGGGATTGTTCATAAATGACGTAAATCCTTTAAGGGCAGTTCTGTGATTGTTCAAATAAAATAAAAAAATTCTCAAACTAGATTAAAAATCCTGTTTTTTAATGGGCGTCATTTATAAACAACCCATTAAGTATCCCTCGAAACAAAAATAATTTTCAAGTTTTCTTTTAAAGGATTGGATTAATCTTGTTTTCGACCTGATATTTCAAAATAAACCCTTCAACCAAAAGCTCTTAAAAAACGATTCAAGCAATTTTTATGCAAAACAATTTTTTACCCTTGACGCAAAGAAAGAAATATTCAAGTGCTTAAAAATCTCGTTTTAAAGAAATAAAAGATAAAAGCTCATAAAAGGGAGAATGTAAACAAGTAGAAAGAAATGAATGCGACCAGATGAGATCCTTTAATGTTTTTTTTTTGCATTAAAGCTTGTTTCTTTTGTAATAATATTCTATTTTTAAACGCAGGAGTTGATGAAGGTATTGAGAAAGTCAATTTAAATCAATAACTTTCAAGTTTAAATGTCTAAATTAAATAAAAATCTTTAAAAACTTATTTGACGCCGACTATGTTTGTATCTATAAAAACAAACTGCTGCTCTCTAAAGGATACAATAAGACATAATAATTTAACAACATAAAAGAAATAAAAACAAGATGATAATCGAACTATTATGAAACTATCAGGAGAATAAGAACTTTATAAACGAAGCAAAAAGCTAGAAAAAAAAAATAAAATGAAAGCACAGAAAAATAAAAACCAGCTCATTTATAGTATTGCCATTCTCAATACCAGTGTAACATATTGTAAGACACAGATGGTTAATTTTTATTCTAATTAGTATGTAAATCTGTGCTGTGGGTGATTAAATGAAATAAGAGAAAAATAAAAAGGTTTGGATGAGGGTACTGCTTTAAATAACATTTTGCACCGATATTTTTTTGTAACATTTAAAGAGAAAAAGATTCTTTATCCTTATGCAGGGTTGGCATTTCATGCTGGAAAGTTCATTAACTTATAGTTAAAACAAATAATTCGCGATATTCTACGAAGATTAAAAATATAATCTCAAAACATGAAATTATAGACTACAAAATTTCTAAAAGTTCAGCATAAAATGAATTCCAACCCTTTTTTGCTAACTTACATCTGTAATTTTCTTAACATTTATAACAAAAAAATAGTATAAAAAAATACAAAAATAGGTCATTAGAAATAAGTATCGTCCGCGTTGTAAATCACGAGCGTTAAGCACAAAAGTTTTGTTTTTTTTTTATGTTAATATTCATCCATGAAATTTGTTGTAATTACTATAATAATTTAATTATAGTTGAAAATTATTGACGAATCTTACATATTCATACATAAGAACCACTAAATTCATTAATTCACAAGATTTGCATCCTTTGCCATACTATAGAATGCGGAACTTTTGTTTTGTAGTAACTCGTTCGGTGGGGCATATTCCACAATTTGTCCTTTATCAAGTACTATAACCTTATCCGAGTCGAGGATTGTATTAAGACGATGAGCAATCACAAGCACGGTACATCCTATAAACTCTGTTCTGATTGTTTTCTATATTTTTAATTAAAAATTATAGTGAAGAAATTAAGTAACAAGAACAACAGTTAACAATAAAGTACTTACTTGAATTAGATCATCTGTTTCAAGATCAACAGCAGCTGTGGCTTCATCGAGTACAAGGACTTTTGTTTTACGTAACAATGCACGAGCAAGACAAACTAATTGACGTTGACCAACGGAAAGATTCTCACCACCTTCAGTGATTTCATGATTGATGCCTGCAGCAAGTCCCTTAACGAAATGTTTTAAATGTGCATGTTCGAGTGAACGCCAAACTTCATCATCATTATATCTATCAAATGGATCTAAATTCATACGAAGTGTACCAGAGAAGAGAACAGGATCTTGTGGAATGATTGTGAGACGTGATCTCAATGAATGAAGTCCTAATTTAGATATTTCATGTCCATCAATAATAATTTTGCCTCCAGCTGATTCAATAATTCTGAATAGCGATAATGTCAAACTTGATTTGCCGGCACCAGTACGTCCAACAATTCCAACTTTTTCTCCTCCTTTCACATCGAAATTTATTCCACGTAAAACTAAATCAAGGCCTTCACGATAACGAACTTGGAAATCTTGGAATTGAATCTTTCCTTCTTCTGGCCAATTGGCAGGTAAAACAGCATTATTTTCCCATGCAGCCTCTTGTTTCGTCTCACCATATTCCTTAATACGTTCAACAGCAACAATATTCGTTTCAACGTCACTTGACATACGCACGAGCCAATTTAATGTTTGTGTCACTGATAAAGCATACGACACTGACAATCCGACAAGACCAGGTGACAGAGAATCTTTCCCCATGACGGCGAACATGGCAGCAAATAGAATAATTAAATTTCCAACCATCTCTAAGCGAATAGCAAGCCAACGATTTGCAATAATTGATGGGAAATAACACACTTGATTGAAATCAACTTTACTCTCTGATTCCTCGATGAATCTGAATAACAATAAGATGAAAGAAAGAAAGATTTTAGATAAGTAGGGAAGTGACTAAGAGATTGACGCATTTTTTCAAATTTTAGCTCGACAATCAATACATTTTATATTCGTAACGATAGTCTAATGGACAAAGTTAGCAATAATACCACATAGCTTTCATGTGGAAAGCTTATAAGTATGCAATAATAAAGTTTTTCACGTCCCTCGAACCAAAAAAATACCAAGACGCAAAAAACACGAATGAAAATCATCAAATACGATTTGAAATTGAAATGAAAAAAGTTTTTTTTGGGTATATTTTGTTATGCTTCGTACCTTGGCTGCACGCCGTATGCTCTTATCGTTGATGTTCCTGTAATGCTTTCTCCGAAATGTGAGTAAATTGGTGAGCGTGACACTGATTCAAGTCTTTTCAATTGACGTGATGTAGCAACCTGATTATGAAAAAATGATTTTAATGTTCTATTCTTCCAGAAGTTCGTGTCAGATTTATGGGTGGATTTTTGCTTAATGTAGAGGCAGGTTTGCTAGCAAAAAAACATAAAATCTGACAAAAACTTCCAAAAAAGAGTAATCAACACTAAAGAAATAGGAAACAAGAACTACTTACGTAGAATCGTTGTACAAAATAGTATAGAATTGCAATTGGCACAATTACGACAAGGAAAATTGGCGTTGAGATCGAGATGACAGCTATAGTTGCCATTACCTAGTTTTTATAAAAGTTTTTTTCAAGTGGAGAAGAAAAAATAGAAAATAAGTTTATATAAAATAAATAGAAAAACTTATTCAATGCTAAATTTGCGTCATTGATGAGGTAAAGTACTTCCATCAATGTTTACTATTATACTCATTCTTTGTACTAGAAACTAAGCTCTTTCTAATTGCCTTTAATATTTCTTTATTTCATTCCTGTATTTTATATTTTCTTCTTCTGTCAATAAATTGACTTATCATTCTCAGTCAAGGCTGCATGAGCTTTTATTCATCAGCGATGCAGAAATTGATTCAAAAACTATGAAAATTTAAAGAGGCTGCTTTAAAGCCACATTAATTCTATAAAGAGCTTTCAATTTACTGAGAAAATATCAGTGACTCTATCAATTTATACATCGCATGGATCAATTACGCTCTGCAACTGTCATGTACCACATTTCAATCATACAAATTTCGCATGCAAAAGCATCACAATATTTATTAATACATCACAAAAATTATTATTATTATTATCGTGCATTCAACAATGAAATCATTCTAAACGTGCGTACACAAAAACATACCAAAAGGATAATAATCCAACATATAACGATGTGAATAGACTGCATTCATAGATCTATTCAGATTATTGAATGAAATTAGTCAGAATTAATAATTTTGTGTCATGAAATATTTTCAGACGAGTCGAAAATGTTGTGATATATTGACATAGAATCAATGAATGAATGTGATGGAAAGGATTATTGATTACGATGTTCATTATGTACAAATTGTTACTCACACATGTGGTGCTATACAAGATTCATGAATCAAATGGAAACAATGAATTGAATTCGAGAAGGATTGAGGAAAAGTTCGGTCGTAATTGAGCTTAAGCTTTCTCGGAAGGTTGGAATGAAAATCGATTAAAATTATGCATGATTTTAATACCTTTGAAATTCTTACAGCTGACTCCATGATTCGGATAATTTTATACCTTATTGTAAAATATTCAAAAGTTGTTCATGTGAATGTTTAGGAATTTAATAAAAATTGTTCAGTAATAAGGGTTCGAATCTCAATGAGAAATGTCAAAAAATTGAATAAAAACTTAGAATTTTAAAAAATTTTATTTTTTAATTTTCATCTAGAAGGAATAATTCATTTCCAAGAGATTGAAAAATCAAGCAATTTAAAGACATCATTGTTAAATAAACCCTTAGCAGAACTATTCTTGATATTAAAAATTTTCAAACGTGCTTAAAGCCATAAAATTTTTTTTCTCCATCCTCTCGCATTGAATCATAATTCTACGACAACATATTCAAGTGTTAGTCTTCTACATAATGATAAATTCTTATTTACAGCTGGAATTTTTCGCATACAATTTATAGGTTTATAGAGGATTTCACAAGGCATATTTCTAATAAATATAGAAGTGAAAAATTACCGAAAATAAGCAATAGACAACAGAATAGATGACCATTGGTAGATCAATATCCAACGTCATTACATCTTTACTGAATCTGGATAGCAAACGTCCAACTAATGTACAATCAAATGATTCCATAGGCCATCGTAAAACTCTCTTTAACATTTGATCATGTAATTTAATTGCAGCTTTAATGCACCACAATTTTGGTGAAACATCAACGAGCATCGACATGATTGCTGTTTAAGGAAATAAGGACAATTTTGACTGTTAATCTGATACGATTATTGATTTAATAACGAAAGACATTAATGAGCAAATAATAATTTTTTTTATAAAGCCATAGATGACCATTGTGCTGATTTTGGTGGAAAACATTTAGAAATATCTGTGCAGGAACACTTTATCACTTAGTTAATTGAAACATTTTCTGAATTGAAATTTAATCCAAAATTGACTCCTCCACCATTAGCATAAATTGAATCGACGTGGATTTACCTGAATTGCAAAGAAGGCAAACGAATCTAACTGACGTGGAAGAGGTTGATCCACAACATTAATGTCTTTCGAGCAACGTGATAAAATTCTACCCGTTGGATTTACATAGAAAAATGTCATCGGAAGACGTAAGACAGTTTGTAAAAATTCACGATGAAGAATAACAGCATCACGAAGGCCTCCCAATTTTGGTAGTAAATCAGCTATTGTGTATGATATGACTATAATGGAATGAGTGTCTTGAAATATTTTTTAATCATGTCTTGAATATGTAAAATATGTAGAAAAGGTATTATGATGCTATGTAATTCATATCCTTATTGGATATTAAATTAATTGAATATATTATTTGGGAAGTCGAAGTTGTTTGAAAGGAATAGAAGCGGAAGATTATTAAGATTAATTAATATTCTTATCCTCTAGAGAAATATTGACTTGATTGTATGATTATAATTAATCTACATACTAAAATAAATGGAATCTGATAAACATGAATGGATGTAATTAAAACTAACGATAATAGAGGCAATGATGAATTTTTATGATAATTTAATTATATTCAAAGTTTCTGTGATGAAATACAATAGCTTCTTATTCTCATCACTGGAGAAATACTCTTTCATGCAAGAAAAAAAGATTATGTGAATGGAAAAAAAAGTTCGCATTGAAATATGAATAAGGTTTGATGAAGAAGTGGCTGCTCAATGTCATTTGTAAAACTTTTTTCATATTCAGATGTTTCAGACAATTTATCTAGATTATGCTTCATAATTTAATATTGTGATAGAAAATGATGCTAACAAACTTTAACTTATGAATAGAAAACATCAATTTTCTGAGGTAAAAGTTCAATATTAAATGGTTAAGGATGTAGAAATAGTTTTGAGTATCAAGGTCAACATTTAGCAAAATTGACACTTTTAAAGAATTTTATATAAGGAAGAAGAATTGCAACATTTTAGTTTATCCTTATTATATGCAGTCAATGTAGTTGTTTGCAGAAGACACTGAATAAAGGAAAAGCTATTGAAAAAAAGTTTTTTTTTTCAAACAAGCTTTAAGCTTCTTATGACTTAAAGCTGCAAACTAAAATTTCTTAGAAATTGTTATAAAAAGAAAAGCTTCTCTTTAGTTTTGAACTTGAAGTGATCAGAAGAGTACATCTTCTACAATTATTCTATCCAAATCATTAAGTTGGAATCAAAAAGCAGACCAACAACTATTTCAAACAAGCTTTACTTCCAGGACATAATAACTTAAAAAGCAAATCTAATGATAAAGAAAATTTCAAAAGATCTTATTATAGAGATACAGGAATAATACTATGTAAATACACAAGCTCAAAGCAGAAAGAAATCATTGAAATCTCTTTGGATGTAATTATTACTATAAATTGGCAGGAATATTAAGAACGAAATTTGTTCTTATAGAAAAATAATTTTCCACGAAATAAAAGTTGATGCCAAACTTATTCCATAAAATTCATTCAATGAACCATATTGCCATTTACACTTATAGCACTGACCAAGAATGGCATACATACTGGGACTTAAACATTCAATCATACAAAGCTGTTGATTTTTTCTTACATTGACATTATATTGTTAAACAAGGTAAAGCATTTGAGGATCTTTAGAGAGATTTTATCAGAATTTCTGAAAGAGTTTTCATCATTAACTTTAAGAGCTTTTAGAAATTCTGACAAAATTTCCACAAATCACAGACTAAGTTAGTAATAGTGTGCAAAAGCTCTTGTGGCAACCTTAAGTACCAATATCAAAAAAATCGTGCGTGCTTAGATGATAATGTGTAGTAAAGCACTTTTTATGCTTTTAAATGTTAGTTACCTCGAAGAGACAATAAATGCCATCGGAAATGAGTTCAGGTAATGTGACATCTAAAACATCGACGTCTTTACTGAATCTGGATAGCAGTCGGCCAATAGGAGTTACATCATAAAAAATCAACGGTGCTCTAGATATAGCCCATAACATAACACTGTGTAATAATGTAGATGCCTTTAGTGTTCCTAATCGTGGTGCAAGGTCGGTAAAGATTGATGACAATGCTGAGGAAAATTTTGATTTTTCGGTTATTAATGACAAGAAATTTTGATGTTTAGGAATTTGTGAGATTGATGGGAGTCATCAGTAATAATAAGTAGTAACCTTGTTAAGGAAGGAAGAAGTATTTTTTTCAAACGTTTATCAATTTTGGTTTGACGTTTGAGATTAGTGTCATTTTGTAATATTTATTTTCAGTATGTTATGTGCAGTTTAGTGCTTCTCATCATAAAAATCGTAAGACGTAGTTTTGTGGTGAAAATTATGGATATGTTTGTGGTGCACTAAAATTATCCTATCAGAAACAAGAAACTCTCATGTTAGTATTCGACATGTTATGCAGCAAAACTAGTGATGGTTGAGAAACTACACGAAAAAATCGTTCTCATTACAAAATAGGAATGTTTTGTAATTTAGAACTTAATGTTTAGCAAGTCACAAGAAAAAGAACAAAAAAAAAACTCAGAAAAGCTTATGCCAATTGAAATCGCAAGAAGATTGATAAAAAAAAAATATTAAAAGCTTAGAAAACTTTCTACAAAAAATCTAAAAGTAACAATTGAAAAAGTCTACAGACGTACTCGAAAGAATGTGTTCACCAATGGTCGTAAATTATTAATTAATCTTTCATCCAAAATATTGATATCATGCGAGAATCTGGCTAAAATACGGCCTTTTGGAGTTACGTCAAAAAAGCCCATTGGACCTTTCAATATATTCGACAATGATATTTTGTGTAGGAGGACTGATGCTTTCAAGCCAGCTACCCAGAATAAGTAATTTGAGGAATATAAAGCAATAACTAAATGGTAAGAGAAAAGAAGAAAATTTATTGTCGTTTATGGATGGCAAATGGAGCAATAAATAAGTTATTAAATTTTCATATGTCATTATGTCTTGTCGGTATTGAGTAAATTAAATGAATTATGTGAATTATATAGAAATGATGGCGTCAAATGAAGTTAGAATGTGATAACTCTGGACTTTTATATTTTACGAGGTTAATGCAGTAGCTTTAGTCATTTTAGCAAACTGCTGAATAAAAATTCAAGATTTTAATTAAATTCAACAAAAAATTTACTTTAAAGCATAAACAATGTGGTTCTTGTCTGTTCAACTGGTTAAAAGGGATTTTTCTGTAAAATCAACAGGTCATTCATTGCTAACCATAAATACCAAAGTTAATGAGCCATGTTTAAACAAGCTTGGTCAATTTTTCTGCTGGCACAATAAATTATCAAGATACAATCAGCCAGGAGAAGCAAAAATGAAATGATTCAATGTTATAAGAGTTAAAAACTTTAGACTCCTTATAAAATATTTCTATGTGGACATCTTGAGGGAATGGTCCACAAAAGGATATGTTAAAATTCTACAACACATTATTCAAATTGACATATTTTCAATTCGCTTAACAATTCCAGAGTTATCACAAATTCACATGCAGATGCCCTTAATAATCAAATTTATAACAATGGATATTTTTTTAATTTTCATTTCATATTTTGAAAGACTAGATTGTTATGTAACTATATAAATTGTGTATGATGATATTGGTTTGTATTCATATTGTCAATATAATATAATAAATATGATGAGTATGATTCAATTCGAATGAGAAGAAAAAGGATGCGCAAATAATAATAAAACCTTTTCAAATAAACATGTTCTCAATAATGGCATAAAATGTAGCAAAAGAAGTTCTTTCAAAGTTTATACATACTTCCAATGCATGCATTCAAGATTCTCTCATTCAATATACAGTCATCAAAATCCTCTTGTAAACATACTTAACATTCAGTTCCTCTTTTAATTTAATATCGTTCATGTCATTTGACATTCAAACTTACAATAGTTCTTATGGATCAACCTTCACCTTTTTTCCATCACCAAACATAAAAATTTTGGGAATTTACCGAAAACAAGCATGAACAAAAAGCTCTCAAAGTTGCTGGAATATCAGAGTCCGTGGCTTCAATATCTTTCGAGAAGCGATTCACCACACGACCAACAGGCGTTAAGTCAAACCATTCCAATGGTGCTCTGAGAATTCTTTTTAGCAAACTATTGTGAATAAACTGTGCTGCACGTAATGTTCCAATATACAATGACAATGTTGCAATAAATGTTGCCACAACTGTGAAATTATATACACACAAATTTAAATACATGAATTTTTGAACAAATAAATTTACAATTGCAATAATATTTAATTTGCGAACATTTACAAGACAAGCAAAAAATTTTATCACATTTTATTTAACACCACTATTTAATTTTTAATGAATCCCTTTTTTGGAATCAATTTGTGTGCTTTTATGTAAGCGTGCATTTGTGCTCTAGATTATGCAATCGTAAAATGTTTGGTTTGTTCAATATTTGGTTTTTTGTGGAATAATGAAATGAATAATTAAGCCGATTATATCGTTTTAAATAATGCAAATTTCATCGAAATATGGTTGACTGAGAATTTTGAGTGAATTAATTGAATTTTCATATTTTTTTAATATAATTGTTTTTGTTTTGATAAATCGTAGTTTAATTAACTTAATAAAAGCTGTTAAATATGACTGCGGCTTTATCCTTTCATACAAAAATAACGTCAATTTGAGCAAAAATGATTATTATAATTTACTCACCAGCATTTTCAGCTCTAAATATTTTTCATATAATTCCCAGCCAACCAATATTAGCCAAATAATTGACAGTAAAGCAACAACAGAAAGTTTCATTGTTTAGAACAAAAAGAATGTTGAAATAAAAAAATATTGCCGAAACAAACTGTCACAAGCTTTTCAAGCTTAAATAAAAAGCACAGCGAAAAATCTAGAAAAAAGTTGTTGTTCCCAAACGTATAATAAATACATTCCTATCAACACATAACAAGACATTTTACGAATTTATACACATGACACATTTACACAGTTTAATATCTATTTCTGTGCGTGTGTTTGTAAAGAAAGATTTATTAATGGTTAAAAGAATTTTTTTTTGTAAAAAAGTGAAGGCATAGATCAAAAATAAAGAGTGATAAAAAAATTAATTAAAAATGTGATCCCAATAGGATATTTTTTGTTGCCAAGCTCATTGTCACATTATTAATAAATGTATGTTTAATTCAGTCACCAAAACATTCATAGCAAACCCAACCACCATAAAATACAGATCAACATTACAAAAAAAAATTAAATTTAGATAAATAATTTGAAATTTATGTACAGAGAACAGAAAGAGCTCAGTGAAATGAATGCAAGATATTCGTCTTCGGAGACTACATGTATGCAGAGATTGACATGAGGAAAAAAATAGATACAAGAAGAATGAGATTTTCCGAATTTGAATTTCTTGCAATTCGACAAGTTTTTATTTTTTTGTTGTGTAGAATGAGTAATAGGATTTCTGTGAATAAATTCAATTTTCATGGCTTTAAATTGAATTTTCAAAAAAAAAAATCTACTTTGAAAAATTCATAATAAAAAGTCTCGGAAAAATAAATTTAATCACAGAAATGAAATTGTTTTGATGAGAAAAATAAATTAACCAGTTTAGGATTGAAGTTTTGTGCTTTTGTTGTACTGCATTTAAATTGAATTCAATTGACAAAATTGACAATTTACAAAATAACTGATTCATTAGAAGAAATTAAGCATTTCCATAAAAATTCTTTTAAGCACCACAAAATTATCTCCTAAACCAAATTAAATTATTTATTCTCATTCCCTAGTGAGAAGCAAAACCAATTACAACTTGACATCAAGCAGTTAATCCTTGATATTAAGTCATTACAATTTCACATCTCACTAGATCATTAAACCCGAGCAGTGCAAAATCATCACAAGCGATAGATTTTCGAGAATTATCGCCCTATGAGTGAGTCAGCACTGCCCATGGCTAAATTGTATTAATGAATATTCGAAATTAATGAGACTCACAGTAAAGTTCATAGCAATCAGCATTCGAGTGACATGTGGTAGAACATTATCACATGTATCGACGTCCTTACTGAACCTGTTCAAAATTCTGCCCAACGGAGTCGTGTCGAAGAAGACCAATGGCAAACGCATAACATTATGAATGAGCGCGGTATGCATTGCGTTTGCAGCAGCAATTGTTCCCAGTGAGAATATAATGGCCATAATAAATTGCGATATAACTGCATTATGACAACAATTTTTTTTCAATACACGATGATGACAAATTCGATTAAAAAGTCAGCATGAATAAAATGAAATGAGAACATAAAATTACATTTTTGTTGTTGTTGAATATCATTGAAAATGTGGTAATTGAAAATAATTGTAATAAAATTAAAAACAGAATTCAAAGAACTCTCATTGAGAAAAATTCAATAAACTCTTAATTAAATTATTTTTATATGTGCAATGATGGTGGTAAGAATTGATATGCTCATCACAATTTGTGGTGTCCTTTTGAAATTTTGTTGTCATTTTTAGATCAATGCCTAGGTTTAAGTAGCTCTAAGCGTCAACAAAGTCTAATCTTCTAAAGAATAAGTAAACTGGGAGAAGAGAAAATTACTTTCAATTCCTCCGTGGTTGCTAATTGTCTGAACTTTACGATAAGCAGATGAAAAAGTTTTTAACGTTATCAAAAACTTTTTAATTCACCTCATAAACTTAACAGGATAAAAGCTTTTATTAAAAACAAAAGATCATCAAAATTTCCCAGGACACCTCTTGTCGATTGCGATTATTCTATGGATATGTGTGTTTTGCCCTTTTCACCGCAATTTTATAGCAACACAATTAAAAATGAGAGCAAAACTCTTTTTCTCATCAAGATACATGTAAAAGCTCCCTGTCGTGCGTGTTTATCGATGAAATTTTTATGAAAAATATTTTCTTAATCTATATAGTATGCTTATTCGTGTGTATTGTAACCGTAAACTTAATCAAATGATGTCACATGCCAACATATGCCAATGGTTGAAGGAAGCATTTGAAAATGAGTCACAAAATAGCAGCAAATTTCGTTTGAATCAAAACAGGATCAAACATTCAACATAAAGTTAAGTTATGTCCAAAAAAAAAAAAATCTTAATTAAATTTAAAATTTACCGCGAAGAATTGTAACATCCAAGATTTAAGGTTTTGAGGTAGTAATATATCAACAGTATCAATTTCTTTGCTAAATCTATTGAGGATTCTTCCAATCGGCGTTTGATCAAACATTTCCATTGGCCATCTCATAACATTTGTCAGAAGTATGTTGTGCATTTGTTTTGATGCATAAATGCATCCCAGTGCAAAAATTATTGAACTTGCAAAGGACGCAAAAACTATAAAAATATTTCGAATTATTTTTTTTTCTCACATTTTATGAAGCTTTAATGCGAATGCTTAATGACTAAGTACTTGATATACTTTAGGTTTATATGTTTGTGCATGTATTGTATAGTTAGTGTTAGGAAAATAAACTTAATTATTAAAATTAAAGTTACAAGAAATTATTTTACTACAATTCATGCCTTTTATTGAGAGACATGAAATATTCAAAAAAGGGGGATAGAAAATAAAAACAGAAATGAGGTTGTGAGTTTGTGACTTCAATTCTAAGTAGAAAAATGGGAAAGTAATTTCGAAAATAAAAGCCAAATGAAAATTGATAGAAAAATTACTAAGGAAGTTACATGATGTAATGATGTGAATGAATAAGCTACTAATAGAAGGGAAACTTTTAAGAATGAAGAAAAGTAAGTGAAAATCGTCTCATTTCCAAACTCTCTCGATTCTTCATCGCATTATTTCCAATGGAAATTCTCAATTTTTTTACGCTTCCACGCGGATATTCCTTATCAATTTAGAGAGAAACTTTTTTTGTGTGTTTTGTGAGAGAGTGACGAGATCTCTAAACATTTTGTCATGTGTTTTTTGTTGATTTTGAATTTTTTTGTGTTTATGAAATTTTCTTGAATGAATTCCAGAGCAAATCAATGTCAAGTTTACTCTCATAAACTTTGACAGAGATTTGAGAACAGGAATTCGTCAAGATATGTGATTTATCAAAAATTATTAATTTTCTGTAAAAGTTCTTTGGGATTATAAAGGATAAAACATTTGTATTGCACTTGTGTGAATGAAGAGAACGAAAACTCACCTTGTCCGAGACCAAATGAAGCATATACACCTATTGAGGATGAATGAAAAATAAATTGAATGATATTAGTAAAGGATGAATATGAATAGACAAATTTCATGCTGGTAATAAATTAAGAATGTCATTCAAAAATTTTTTGGCTTGTATAACATCAAGCAGCTACCGACAAGTCGGCTAGACCTTCAAAAAATAATTTTACCGAAAGGGTACTGAGAATGTAATAAAGGAATCAACAAAAAAATTAGATAACTCAAAGAATTTGCTTGACCTGAATCAGGTGTCTAGACATAATTTGATTCTATTACATTCGAAATTGTAACAAATGAAGTTTATTTGACATGGATTAGATTTGTTATCAATGACCTAAATTTCGCTTATAATGTTGGAAATCAGTTGATTTTCTCACCTAAATACATGTTTCTCTTTCCAATATCCTCTGTTGTTGTATTGTCACTTGACCATTTTGACAACCATATGTTGGATCCAATTGCAAAACCTTGGAATATCATATTAAGGAAAACTGTTGCACCGGCAAGTGTCCATCCAATACTCTTCAAGTAATGCTTATAAACTTCCCATTTAACGCTTCCTGTCTCTGACTTTTCAGTTTCAATTAATTTATTTTGCGCTGTTCCGTTTTGTTTTACATCTTCAGCTCCCTTAGCAGGCGATTCAGATGTACGACGTTGTCTCAATTCTGATTCACTATTTGTTGATGCTTGACGTGAGATTTTTCCACTGCTTCCACTTGATGTACTGTCTGATCTTGATCTCTGAGTGCTGATTGCTCTTTCAAATTTAGCTTTAAGTTCTTCATTTGTTATTGTTTCTTCAAGTTGTGCCTTGATTTCATTAATATCTTCAACTTCTTCATTGACTTCCTGTAAATGTTGAATTAAGAACTCAGCAAATGCTCCCTTCTTTTCAAGCAATTCCTTATATGTTCCATGTTCAGACACTTCACCGTCTTTAAGAACAAAAATACCATCACATTCTGGCAAGTAAGTGATTCCGTGTGTGACAAGAACGCGCGTTTTCTTAGATAATATTCCTTTTGGACCAATAACTTCTTCAAATATGTGTTTTCCTACATGAGAATCAACAGCTGAGAGTGGATCATCAAAGAAGTAAACATCGGAATCATTATAGACAGCACGAGCAAGTGAAACTCTCTGTTTTTGTCCACCTGACAGATTGATACCCTTTTCACCAATTTCAGTTTGATCTCCACCAGGCAAAATCTCAAGATCGGGGTTTAAAGCACAAGCATGAATAATTTGTTCATAACGTTTTCTGTCCATTGGTTTGCCAAACAAAATGTTGTCTTGTAATGTAGCATTTTGAATCCACGATTGTTGTGGAACATATGCAATTTTACCGTGTGTATTAACTCGTCCAGAAATCTTGTCCATCTCACCTAAGAAGGCACTAATTAAAGAGGACTTGCCGGAACCGACTTGTCCAACTATAGCCACACATTTCTTGCTTTCAATTTGGAGATTAATGTTTTTCAAAACGCTGTTCTCTTCACCCCATGAGAATGTTCCGTTCTCAATTACCAATGGATTCTCTGCGAATCACATAAAAAAAGTTTTAAAATAAAGAACTTTTGATTGTCACGAATATTTTCAATTTAATTTAATGCATACTTTCTGATTCTTCATGTTGAACGTTGTTTGGATCAAGTTCTTCACCATTCATAAACTTATTTATACGCTTCACAGATACGCTCGTCTAAATGTTAATAAATTCATTAGACTGAATGTAAAACTAGATTGATAATCAAAATAAAGAACAATGAACAAGTTTGTGCTTTGTAAAAATTGCAACTTTTGCATAAAATCATGATACAGCATATCGAGATTCTGGTAACAAGATTGGTTCTCTTGTTTAAAAAATTTTTATTTTAAACAATAGGATATAAATTTTATATAGATTTGATCGTGCATGACCAAACTTTTTTCTGACATATTCTAGCTTAAAGCTTCTCATTTGACAGCCTCGTCGAAAATGAAAATTTCTGGTGGCACAACAAAGTATGTGTTTTCATCATTTAATCCATAATCTAATCTCTTTCATAAGAGAATAATAATTTTTTCATAATTCCAAATAAATATTAATGAAATTCAACTCATTTAAATGAGAATCTCGTGTTTGTCTACAATCTGTACCATTTCCCTTCAACAAAGTCTTGCTCATTATTATTCATGAAAAAGATTAAGTAATGATAAATAACATGAAATGTGCTAACAACTAGTAGGATATAAAATGAATGATGTACTGATGTTTATATTACTTACTTGAACCATATTTGAGATGAGCATAGGTAACATACTTAAGGGAAAACGGAGGATATTAAATAGAGCCAGTGAAGTAAAAGCCGTTTTAGCGTCCAAAACATTATTATCATCAACCAATACGTAAGTGGCAAAAGAACACAATGCCACCTATTTTATAGTATTTTTGTGTCAACATTAGATTGAATGATTATATTGAGTTATGAAATGATTTATTGTTTGATAATAGTGTAAAAAAGGAAGAAAAGAAAGAAAGATATGACAGATATGATAATTAATCTACTGCAAAATAAAAATAATACGGTTAGAATTAATATTTGTAAGATGATCTCATAAGAATCAACTTTTGTCAATCTTAATAAATATCAAAAATCTAAGGTTTTGGCAAACTTAGAAGTTTGTAAAGTTGAATATTGAATCATATGACAAAGAGTTCGAATCTCTAAATTAAATAAGAGTAGTTATTGGGTTACGTGATTTATTCTCTGCATATTTTTTTAAATTTTTTGAACGTTCTTTTTAAGGTTTCTTTAAAATCTTAATTATTAAAGCTTTTTTCATAAAATGTCAATGAACATTCATCTTAAAATAACTTTCATATGAGAACCCTTACAAATATTGATAAGTAATGTGATTGCGGTTAAATTTATGTTTGTAAACGTCAAATTCGTTCCTTAATCTAAAGAATAATAATCAAAGAAAATTAAGCACAGTGCCAATACACCATAATATTTGTTACTACACCATTGAGAAAAGTTTTTGTTCTAAAAATAAGCATATTCATTTGAATAATGAATTACCTCAACGATGTATACAATGAGCAATGGTAAGAGTGCTAGCGGCATTCGAATAAGGTCGAACAGCGTTAGACACACAAATGCTCTTGTCGGCGTCAAAACATTTTCTTCTGACGACATAACGAATGTTGCGAAAGTTACTAAAGAAACCTTCAATCATGGCATATTTTTTTTTTTTATAAAAATCAAATCATTATCAAAGGAATTAAATAATTTTGCTATAAGGACTAAATATTTAATCGCAATCTGCTGTCACTTTTGTTGTTTAACGTTTTTAGCGCACTTTTGAAAGGGAAAATGAGATGCTGAGAAGGTTTTAGACGTATTTGGGTTAGAGATTGATCGATGTCTCTCTATCAGTTCGATTAACTTTGTATGTGATTAATTGAAATCAATAATAAAGTCCTGAGCATCTCATAAACCACATAATAAAAAAATTGCGCCAAGTTCGCCTCAACTTAATAAAAATTTAATATTTTTTCATCACTCACCATAAATGGAGCACAAGACCAGATGAAACTTGTTCCAGCGTTAAGATATGCAGCTTGCTTTAATACATGAACTTCCTTGTTACGAATTTTCAATACTTGATCCTCAAAACTTGGTTCCCAGGCATACAACTTTAAAACTTTGATTCCATTTAAAATTTCGTTCATTAATTTGACACGCTCATCCTTATTCTTCATTTGCTTGATTTGCAAGTTCTTGGCTTTATTGGCAATAACACCATTGACTGGAATTAAAACAATCATAACAGCTAAACCGGAAAGAACACTTGGTCCAAGAATTTGCCAAAGGAAATAAATGGCAAGTGAGATTTGAAGTGGAGCTGACCAAATCATATTGAGGTATGTGACTAAATCCATAAAACGTTGAGCATCAACAGCCATTAAGTTTACAATTTCACCAACAGTTGATTCTTTACGAGCTGAGTTTGAGAGAATCAATGCTTTTCTGAAGATAGCAGAAATTAAGGCTGTACGAATACGAAGACCGACCAAAAACATTCTGTGAAAATATTGAGCCAAGAAAAGTGTTTGTGTTGATGCGACGCCAAAAAGTAATCCAGCATACAAGTATCCCTTCCATGTCTCTTCGTCATTACTAACATAGTCAATTAAAAGTCTCAAGATTTGTGGTGAAGCGAAAGTCAGTAAGTCATTAAACAATTTCAAACAACTTCCAAACATGAAAGTAGCACCGAATGCTTTGATAAGAGCTGGCAAGATTGATGATGGCTTTTTAGCTTTAACATTTGAGAAATTGATACCTTCGGATGATTTCTTGAATGAAGCAGCTTGAGATGTTGGGGCAGGAGCAATTTGAGAGTTTTTGGCAACAGACTGATTCCAGTATTTTAAGAAACATGGGGCTACTTCTGCTGAAGTATCTTCTGGATTCATTTGCCATAAGTCATCATTTTCAAGTGGACGTCTAAAGCCTCTCCAAATAAAGGAATCAAACCAATGGAACAAGAGCTTTGATGGAAATCCAGCACTTAATTCTGGACATGGCTTTTCACCCATTTCATACTTCATTTGTTGTGGTCGAGCATCAGAGAAGCAATTAAGGATGAGAACTAAAACGCTTGTAGCAAAGAACACGATAAAACTGACGAAATTAAAATGTTCATCTTCAAACATTTTATCTTCCTCATCGAGTTCGCCTGATTCATTGGAAATCCTGATTTCTGTTCGCAGTCTTGGGATATTGAACAGGACCATAAAGAGCCAAAACAGAAACAGCAATCCAGACGTTCTCATTCCATAAAGTCTATTGAAATGCACAAGAACACCAGCCAAAATCTGAAATAAAGTTGGATTTATTATATCCGCCCTCGAATATTTAGGTCAAAGATTTAATTAACTTACGAATGAGGCGATCTTTATGACTGGCGTATAAAAATGTACAGGATAAGCAACTCCACTATAAGCGATGGCATATACGAGGTCGACAATTGTGAGAATTGTAATTGCGGCAGTGAGAATGAGTTTTGAAAGATTCAGGAAATTAGTTGGGATGTTCCGGTCTTTGCTATTTCTCATATAAAAAATTTCTAATCCTGCAAACACCCAAAGAAATGCACAAGGCGTCCAAACTAGCGCTGTTTGTTCGAAGCATCTTGTAAAATCTGGAGTTTCTGTATCCCAAGTTATTGTACGATTCTGAAAATATTTGAGACATTGGAGAAAAATGAAAATATGCCGAAATTTACAGTTATTTATGGCATTCTTACCCAAAATTCAGATCCACAAAATTCATCCATGAGTGATGATTTGAATAAATTCCTTATCTAATGTAAATTCTTACTGTATTCTATATTTTTAATTAATCTATAAACGAGAAATAATAAAAATTTACTTCTTTTGAATTTATTGGTATTCTCTCCAAACTATGAGTAGAAAAATCACTGTGGGAAGTTGTTCCTTATAACGCTTTACTATCATCTAGACGTAATTTTATACACTAATTTAATAATTTTAACAAAGACTACTTTTAATTTTTTTTATTTCAAAAAATGTAAACAAAATTAAACGAATTTTCCTAATTTAAACTTAATTCAATGTCAGTGAAGTCAGTTTTTCATGGATTTCAAAAGGGTCTTTTAATTGTTTTGCTCTTTTGCGAGCTAAATATCTTCATAGAATCTATATTGTAATAAATCATACTAAGGAAAAACCAATTTAAAGAAAACAGCACTCGAGGAGATAGTCTGATTCTATAGTTTTTCCAAAATAATCCCAGCCGAACAAAGTGAAGACACAAACCGATAAGTTTTGTAAAAATGTGCTATGTTAACCGGGTTGTTATGTTAAAACACACTAAGTTGTGTCAGACTGACACAAATGAACAGTCTTTTAGTTTATTTTGATAGTCAACTTTTGTAGAAAATTGTGAAAAGAGAATTAATTTTTTTAAGCCGGTTTATAAGCTTATTTAGTCAGTGATTGTTTTATAGAAGAGACGTAAAACATGTTGGATCAACCGGAAACATCAATTTTGGAGCAGAATCTGCGTTTTGTCAAGGTAAATGATTTTTTACAAATTCACACATTTTTTTGAATATTTTCTATGTTTTAATTAATTACAGAATGAGTTTGATGACCAGTTAACAGAATTATTTAATGAACAGAAACAGCAGAAATCACGAGCACCATTTAAGATGGTTCGTCCATATCCTGGTAAGTTAAAAAATCTAATAATCACTTTATAAACAAAAGTCGTTACTAATAGCAACAAAAAAAAGAAAAAGATGATAAAGAAAGTGAGATGATGATGAGTCAGAGCATACATCAAACATCCGGAATAATCCAGTACAAAGAGATTCTAAAGGCAAAGGTCATTAAATTATGCCTCGCACAGGCTGAGTGATAATTTTTTAGACATGTCTGATTGAAAAATCAAAAACGAAAATAGATTTATTTCAAGGCTGTTCTAATTGATCGCATTATCAATTGACATTCTTTAATTAAGTTCAGTGCATCATCTACATAAACTATGGGAAATTAAAATGAAATTTTTCAAGTGTGTGAATCGAATTCTTATGGAAATGAAGGAATTAAAATTCTATGATAGAACTTTATGCTTAAAACTGACTTGACATGACTAAAATTATGTAACCACTTCTATAGTGCGTTAAGTAAAGTTAAAAACTTTACTTTACTTTAGAATGCTAAAGTATCACTTCATTGTTCATTATTCCATAAGAACAAAGAGGTCATTCCATTTAAGTACCAAACAGTGATCACGTAGAATGAATGATTCAGCATGTTTATTTGCGATATCTTTTAACATTTTATTCTCAACTCTTATCACGACATGTGGGCACTTATAATCACAGACATTCCACACACACAGAGCTTTGTGTTCTGTTTCGATTTCGAAAGACATAAAAGTGTCAATCATTCAATAGTCACTCGTTTAATTTACAAATTAAGGAACTGTGTGTCATATTTAATATTTGCTGAACTGAAACACTGATTACAATGAACTTTTGTTATTCCTTCTTTGTTAATCGCCGATATTATAAAACTATCAATTAATTAAATATTTAATTCAGTTACAGTTCCTCAATTTACAGTTCATTATCAGACAAATATGGACCTTCATGAATTTTACTCATATATAGTCAAAAAATATTTTTTTTTGTTTTATATTTTTTCTCAATCCATATGACATTTCAATTTCTGTTTTTTGCATCGGGCACAAAAAAATAAAAATTTCACTGATTTCACTTTTCTGCACACTCATTCATCCGTTTATCTTTTTTTCGGCTACACGAGATAATCTTGTGTTCTTTGAGAGACATACTTTACATAACAACAGTTCTCAATTTTTTTCTTTACGTGTGGAATGCACAAAACCGACGAATTAGTGATCTTTCGACCGAAAATTTCTAAAAAGGAACCTGTTTTTCGATAGAACTTAGCATCAATGACTTTTTCTACATATATTATTCCTGATGAAGACTTACATGAACACACCGATTAATGCTTGTAGTGCCTCACGCACCAAAAAATAATATTTTTCACCGAAACGACTCGAATAATAGTCGAAATCAATTATAGTCCAATTAAGTCTCAAGAAAAAAAATAACACAAAAAAATTGAGAATTTAAAAAATTAATCTACGAAGAGTTCCCAAACCGAACTGTTCACAGCGAAGTCCAAAGCAAAACTGAGCGTAATGATCAGATTCTCATGAATACATTTGTTTTCATACGTCACGATGAGTGTAGCTTTAAATGTATTGGTTATCACTTCTTGAGATTCTTTCAATGTTGATTTGCTCGAGACCATGTGCCTTGTGTGATATTCAATCTGTACTTGTATTAGTCGAGAGAGAATTCAACATTTCTGCATTTACAAATGAGACTTTTTGTTATGATTATTGTTGGGATTCCGCGATAATGAAATTTTGTGTCGGTGGCTTATCTAAAATTGTTACTTGTTACTTTTTTACGTAGGTAATCATGCTGATAATTATGGTTGAATTTCTAGAAATCTCGATTACATTTGCAAGTCATGCTCTCGAAGCTTAAATAACTCAATTCTACATTCTCATTATGATGTCATCGATTCATGGAATTAATCATCAATTTCTTCTTTTCACTGCATTAACACATTGTTGCTGAATGTTTTTGTCATAAGATCCATTTTGGCAACGTTGCGAATTTTTCTGCTTTGATTTGCAAGTTATTAATTAAAATCACCAGCTTCCGATCTTTTTTTTGCGTTTTGTATAGTCGATTGTTATGCAATTTTAATCTCATATCCACTGATTTCAAATGTTTTGTTGGGTTTATGTTCACTATGGTTAGTTTCAGATTGTTGACTCGTGAATATGGAATCCACAATATTGCTAAGTTCAAGTGTAGGGAATTCTGGATTTTATAAATTGTCATTTTGTAAACAATTTAGCGTTTGCATAAATGATTCAAATATAGTTGCGATAAAATGATAGAAAAAGTGACGATAACGTGTAAAATATGCATCATAAAAATCCCAAAAACGTCATGACTGGGCTGTGGTTTTAACTGTTTAAAAATCAAACCTAAATAGCAAAAAGAATTATGATAACTATAAAAAATGTTTGATACACCAATTTTTTGGGAATCGAACCCTCAAAACTCATTTTAAAATTTATATCTTCATCTCAAAATTACAATAAATTTCTGTTTAATTCTACTTTTTTCATGTTATGCAATTTATACAACTTAAAAGTCATTGCACTTTAAAAAAGTTCCTAACTTGATCTTTTCACATCGCTAACGTAGCGGTCGTAAATTTTTTTACAATGTAAAATCGTACTTAAAAGCGTTTTTGAATAAAACTCGTCACATGCGAGTAGATTATTCAAAAAATAAATTTATATATTTTTTAATCTTTTATCAATGTTTTGTCTCGTCAGCATACAGCATATTGTAAATTGAGCTATTTTCATGATGTGTGATTAAATTATTATATTTTTATTTCCTTCTCAAGGTTTATTGCACTTGATGAATGTATGTTTAAATGATAAAAACAAAACTGTTGATCAAACATGCAATATGTTTGCATTCTAATTAAATAGTCGCTGTTTATATGAGAAAATTGTCGAGCTTCCTGACATTATGATTTGTTTTTGTCACCATACGAAATAATTTTTGTCATTTCATTCCGAATTATTGATTTTGAAACTTCAAATTCCCATGCTTTTTTAAAATTCTTGATTGTGTGAATGCACTGAATTATTTAAGGACATATTTTCTCTTTCTCCACATGAACTTACATTTTTGGAGTGTCGTATGTCGTCACATTTTTTGGTAGATTTAGAACAATTTAGAAATGATTCGAATAAAACCTTAAAAGTGGCTTACAAATAATCGATAAATTACAAAATGTTTGTTCAATTTATTGTGGATTGATGATGGAATTGTTCTACATATAACTTCAACTGTTGCTACGTGCTAAGGTGATTTATTGTGAATTTTTAATCATAGCTTAAGTTGTGGTTTGCATGAATGTAGAATTTCGCAATATGCTGGAAAATTTCGACATAAATAATCAGAATATAACTTTTATCACTTTCAACCTCTGGAGTATCAGTCATCGAAATTGAGTTGAATTTTTGATAAAGTAATTTGCGATAAACTGTCGAAGTTCATCGACAAAACGATTCTCTAATTGATTTTACAAAAACAAACCTACACGATAAGAATGGTACGAAAATGAAATTATCTAAATTAAACTTTATGCTGAATCATTCTCATGGGACTGACAATTAGGGGTTCCAGAATTCCCGTTCCCGTAAGATTTCGGGAATCGGAAACGGGAACATGAATGATGTCCGGGAACGGGAATATTCCCGGGAATCAACAAAAAAAAAGTTAAAAGCTACACTTACACCATGTATTTTCTTTAGGTTTTTAAATCAAATTTAAATTCTATTTGTTTTGATTGTCAAATTGATTCTTTTGACAATAATTTCCGTTTGAAATTCAATTCTTTTTGGTTTTAGAACAATTCTTAAAGTACGATTTTAACTGGTCTAGCAATCTAAAGCGATTTTTTGAGACAATATTATTGGAGATTGAAAAGTTACGTTCAGCTCTTGTAGATGTTGGTGGATTCCAGAAATATTAATTTCCAGCACGTTTTTTTATTTTGGAAAAATTACTTTAATCCAATGTCAATTAAGTTTATTATTTTATGGACATCATACATTTAAAAAATATTTTTAAATACTTTTTCTCTTCGTTTTTCATAAATATATGTTTTTGATTTAAAAAACATCAAATTTGAGTTTAATATTTCAACTCTTAAATTCCTTAAGGGCAATTCTACGAGTAAAGGGAACTGCAGAAATTTGCATTGTAAGTTTTCGCTACTTACAAAAATTTAATTTTTTTTTATCCGTTATATTTCTTGGATAAAAATATAGTGTTTCTTTTTATAAAGTGTATTTCTCCATTATTGTTACGCTATTCGTTCTTAAAGTGTAAACTTTAAGGCAAAAAGAGGCATGAAAAACTAATTAAAATAAGTTTTTCCATATGTAAAGACTATTACAGAATAAAATTTCAACGGTAATTTAAAATTTAAATTTTTGTAAGCGCTTGAAGCTTTCCACCGATTGACACAGTTTTTGACAAATTTTAGCTATATTAAAGCATTATTGCTACTGTTTTTTCGTTATAAGCTACTACTCGTTACTAAGCTACTAGCTTAGTAAAGTTTTTTTGAACTTGAAAATTTTTTGTAATCTTTACTAAGCTACTACCAAAAATAAAGTTTAATTAATCTTTTTCAACTTTCTAAGTATCAGTTTCAATGCTTTATGACATTGTCAATGAAATGAAATCGAGAAGATAGCAAAATTTCTTTAATTAAGTTAAAAAATTCAACATTTTCATTGAAGTTCAATTTCTTTACTAAGCTACTCCTGCTTACTAAGCTACTAGTGATCCAAAAAAATCACTTTTTTATTCTTCTAAGCTACTAGCTTATAACGAAAAAACAGGGTATGTTTTAAGTCAAAGGTTTGTTAAATTTGTGAATTCAAACATTTTTTGGTTAGAGACACAAATCAGAAATGAGTGTTTAGTGAAATATTTAACAAATTAAAGTACATTTTGTAAATTCTACCGATTGACAGTAAAAAAGTTAAAATATCTCCTCATACAGCCATTTAATGCAAACAAGTACTATTCATAATGATAAACATTCCCTTTTCTAATTAATTTAAATTAATTTAAATGTGTAAAAAGTCAATATTCAAAGTTTTTTTTTTCAAAAAACTAATTTGAATTGTCGGTTTTTTTTGGTATGAAAACGGGAATTTCGGGAATATTCCCGATTTTAGAACTCCTATGATTGACCATCGTCAAGACAATAAGACATCGTCAAGACAATTCTTCTGTAGTTTGTCAGTTAAAAAAATCTATATAAATCCAATTTGTATCAAATATTCATACTATGTGCTTACTTGTGTGTGAACGATGAGTAATTGTTCAAATGTGAAGAAAATAACACAACATATGAAATGTTTTATGATGGCTATAAGTGCTGATCCTTAAAGAACCTAAAATATATGGCAATTTCAAAAACGAATTAGTAAAATAAAAATAAATTTAATTCTTAATTAAGATTTGCTGTTTAAATTAAAGTTTCATGATATCAAATTCACTTTCTCTGTTGGAAATTAGTCAGAAAAACGTTCAAAAAGGCTCACGTAAAGCCTACGTTACGTAAAATGATTAAGTAAAATCACATAACATTAAGTACTATGTTCCGTTCGCTCTTTCTCGATGTAAGTTAAAGATGGAAGTCGATGGACAGGTAAGAGAGAAGCTGATGCAAGATGAAGGAGGGATTAAACTGAGAAAGCAAATTTTTTGATGGTTCTTCTTTCATAGTTAATCATATCAAGTTTAATTTCAACCAAGGAAATGAATCAATCGTGTTTTCATTCCATTACTGCTCACATTTCAGGCTTTGAATCAGAACAGTCCGAGATAGAGGCAAAAACGTTCTTTACCACACACCTGAGCATGAAAAAGAACCACAATTTAGGGTTAGGGTTAGACGCTTGTAATTAAGCTTCTATTGAATACAACCCAAATCATCAGAGGCTCATTTTTCACATTAAACTACACGATACGTCATTGGACCTGATGTAAGCCTAATGCTGTGTGTGAGAACAGGCATCTAGACAAAAAATTGCAAGTCTCATTTACGAGCAAGCAATCAATGTCCTTGATGCCACTCTACATCAAGGATGAACCAATCAATAGCCACGATAGTAAGTCTCACAGGCAGAAACACATGACTCATAGGCTCGATATCCAAAAAAAAATAAAGAACAGAAAAACTTTTTAAAAAAAGGGTCAAAAGACTTTGCTCCCTCAAGTTTTACCCCTCCTCATCTTGCATCGACCCCCCTCTGACCTATTCAACGACTCTCACTCTTAATTTACATCAACAAAGGCCGACGAAATGTAAAACTCAATGCAATGCGTTTTTAAGTAATCATTTCACGTATTGCAAGCATTACGTACGCAATTGTAGGAAGTCAAATGGCTGGTTTCATTAAAGAAAAGGAATTTAAGGACTATTTATTAGTATACTTAGCTTTTTCTTCGTTGTCACTAGCCTCTTGCTTCTTTAATTGTGTCCTGGCTCCTTCAAGCTTCATCAATCTCATTTTCACTTCAATTTTACAGCTTCTTGAATTTAATTTTCTTAACTTTCAATGTTCACTCAGAAAATTTTTCATTTTTTTCTTCACTTTTAATTTTTTCATCACTTTTGGCTTATTTTCACTGTTGCTTCCATTTTAGCACTTCACTATCACTTTTATCTTGAACTCCACTTCTTTTTAAGCATTAATAATCTCAAGTTCCAATTTATTTGCACCGATTTGCAACAATATTTAAAAACACGTCTTTAAAGAATTAAACTGAAGAAAATTGTGAGAAAATTGAAAGTCAAAGGTTGCTGAGAAATTTGATCTTTTTTGACTGATTGTGATTTCACATTTTTGCGTTAATTAAGGGTGTATTCAGCTCGAAAATTATCAAAAATATATAGTATTAATTCAAAATTTTAAAAGCTTTTTATTTAGGTTTTTAAATTAAATTTAAATTCTATTTGATTTGATTGTCAAATTGATTCTTTTGACAATAATTTCCGTTTGAAATTCAATTCTTTTTGGTTTTAGAACAATTCTTAAAGTACGATTTTAACTGGTTTAGCAATCTAGTGCGATTTTTTGAGACAATATTATTGGAGATTGAAAAGTTACGTTCAGCTCTTGTAGATGTTGGTGGATTCCAGAAATATTAATTTCCAGCACGTTTTTTTATTTTAAAAAAATTACTTTAATCCAATGTCAATTAAGTTTATTATTTTATGGACATCATACATTTAAAAAATATTTTTGAATACTTTTTCTCTTTGTTTTTCATAAATATATGTTTTTGATTTAAAAAACATCAAATTTGAGTTTAATATTTCAACTCTTAAATTCCTTAACGTATGTTTTCATTATTATAATTTTTTTCTTTAAATTGTAGTTTTTTTCATGGAAAATACAAAATAAAAAAAAAACTAATTTGAATTGTCGGTTTTTTTTTTGGTATGAAAACGGGAATTTCGGGAATATTCTTGATTTTAGAACCCCTACTGACAATTGCCTAAAATTATGAAATAACCAAAAATAATAATTTACATGCATAAAAACTCGTTTGATGAGAATTATTTACAGCTCTAGTGTTTACAGAATGAGAGATAAGCTTGGGTATCCTATATCTTTTATCTTTTCTCATGAAACTAAGGTCATTTATTTGAGTCTTAAAGAAGATAAGAGAAATAGTTTGGAATGTTTCATGTTTCAAAAAAGAGAGAATTTCTCAATTTATCGAGTACAAATTAGGCTATCATGTCATGACACACTAAATTTCCAATCAGATTAAATTATTTCTTATCAGAAAGAATTGTGCTTGTTAAGAAAATCGGTACAAAAAGTAGTTGAGTTAAGTTTTCAAAGCGCACATCTTGTTCGTGCAACTTTATGAAACAGAAATTAGAATCGAGAATTCCATAATGTTAATTGACTCAAATTATGAAATCGTGCGTATAAAAATAATATTTTCTTTATTACAAAATAAATTATAAAAACAAATGAAAGATAGCAATTAGCACATAAATACAACAACTGCTCCAATAAAGTTCTGGTCTGATAATATTATTTCATTGAATGTCAGAGTTCAATCGATCAATTGTTCAATCAATGATTATTATAAAAATAAAATTTTGTTGTTGCTTCATAATAAAGTAAAGAAACCTGAACTGACCTTAACTCAAGTATGAGATTCTCTCACTGTAAAGAATGATCATATGCTGCAGACATTTGTAATTAATTTCTATGTCAAAGAATAATTCACATTTATTTTGGATACAACATTACGTAATGTTTTGCTTAACGCTTGTTCTTAATGAGAAGTTCTACAGGATTTTGTTAATAGTATCTTCTTAATAGAAGGTCGTCTTGCCGAATGTAATTTAAAAATTATATAAAAGAAACTTGAATTATTCTTTAATGAAGTATGGGCTAAAGTAGCTTCAAGTAAGATGTACAAAAAGTCCCATTTAGATTTTTTAAAAAATCTTTTAAGAATTCTTATTAGAGAAGTGTCTGTAAATTCTATCTGAGACGACACAGAATGCTCACAAAATGATAAATTGATGACTTCGGGGAATTTGAGTTTAGAAGATCAAGGACTTACTAAACTGAATTTTCTGCCGGCTAGTTATTTTTTTGCAAACTTATGAAATAATTTATTTATTTCCAGTCTATGTCGGTAAAAGTTCAATAGCACATTTCAAGGATTTGGAGACATTTAATCTTCTTTATTTGTGCGCTATTGGATTCTTAGCTTATTTTGTAACATTTTTAGAGGCAGAAAAGATTTTTAAATAAAAGATTCTTATTATGATGGACGTCATTTTGTAATCGACTCTTTAGCAGCTTCAAGCTTAGACAGATTTGAATCATTGATTTATAATTTTATATAATTTCAATTAAATAGTCAATCTCTGTTATTAAAGCGTGGTAATTACGCACACGTGGAATTATATTCAATTGCCTAGCATCTTCAACAGCTTGACTAAGAATTTTTCTGCTAATATTTTGGAATAGAACAAATCTGATATTTTTTGAGGACGTGATTGTCATTTTTAAAGAAATTATCAGTTGGCAAATCAGCTGTAGATAAACTTACTGCACATAACTAGTAATCGATGTTTTACTACAAAATTCACGTGATGAGAAATTATTATCTTTTGTCGTAAAAATTGGAAATCTGATAAATAGTCATTCACATGATTTATGAAACCAAATTTGGTGATTTGTTATCTGTTGCTAAAATTCTTGTTCATGTACGTGCATGACTTTTTGCATCTCACTTAAATGTATTGTTGGATTCTTGTTAGAATTTTCATTATGTGATTTCTCCTCTTGACTGCCACAGAAAACTAGAATGTTCCAAAAATAATAAAAATTGTCACCTTGAGATAATTTTTATTGTTTTTAACAAATCGAGTTCATTATCATCTTTACCATGATTCTGATAAAAAATCCACTTGAGATCATGATATCGCTTTAATTAACCTTTTGTGCTTTTTATTTATTTTTAATAGGCATGTGTATCAAGGCATTCAAAAAGGGTGAAAAGCAGAAATTCTTTATCAATATTTGTCATACGACGGAGATACCAGCACCGAAAGATATCAGCGAAAGTGAATTACATAAACTAATAGAGAATCAAAATGCTACAGACTTTAAAGTACCATTAAGCGTAACAAAACCGCGCATAGGAAAAGACAAAAGTGGCAACAGTGCTGAGATTAGTGACGTTGCTGTTAATTCTGATTTTTTCAATAGAAAAATTAAGCGAGGCGATGGATTATTTTATCATTTTCTAATCACATTGATTTTTGAATCGATTGAACAAAAATATAATATTGAGATAGACACGACGAATTTTGTACAACTGCAAAACCGATTGTGTATGGATACGCTTGTTGAACATCAGATTTACAATCGAGATGTTAAAATGGTTGAGGATTTTCATGAACATGGAGAACCGAATGAAATGTTGGGTGCTGATGACTCAGATAAAATTTTCATCGGAACAGGTAAATTATCGAGTTTTTGAGTATATTGAGAACTTTTTATGTGCTGTCTTTAATTTTAATGCTGCGGCAATCGAAAATCAAATGCCATTCAAGCACGAAATTCACACAAATTTTATTTAAATTTCTCACAAATATTACTTTTTCCTTTCTCTTACCTTTCCTAAAACATAAATCAAAAGGCGACCAAAAAAAGACATCTAAAAAAGTTTTAATCGAAGAACTTTCACCAACTGAGTTAAAGAAAATTCCATCAATGAGAAAATCAGTATCAAAAGATAACATGATAGAGCCAGAACATCGTTTATTCAATGATTACGATAAAGACAATAAAAAGATGTTAATTGCTGAATTCTATATGCCGAACGTAATAGACATTAAGGAGATATCGGTAGACGCCAATGATGATCGATTATTAATTGAGTGCAGAAAATATGGTTATATGTTTGATGGATTTCTGCCACATAAAGTTGATGAGAAAAAGACTGTAGCTGAATATGATAATGAAAGAATGGTATGAATAAGTGATTATTATTTATAACAAGTCCTAATTAATTTACATTTAATTCCATTTCTAGATCCTCAAAATCACGTTTCGTGTGTAAAATCAACTGTAATAAAAATTCAAAATCTAAAGCAGCGCTTTACTTGAGATTCAAAATTTTTAAATACGTTATTCAATTAAGGATTACTTAAAATTCTACAGAACTAAAGGTTTAAGGTACGGCAAACAATTCTTGGAAGTTTTTTATTTACTTAAATACATGTAAAATGCAATAGGTAGAAAATAGTAACAAAATAAATATGAATCAGTTAATCTGTAAATAAAGCATTCCTAGATTCTGTACAATTTGAGGATATATTCTTTGATTTCATATTCACACAAAATTTTCAATTTTTATTTATTTCTTTTAGGATTTAATCATTTTAAATTTCATTTTATTTTAATTTTGAGAAATAAAATTCAAATCGTTCAAAAAAATCATAGTAAGCATTGAAAAACCGGTAAGCAAACATCACCCAAAAAATAACGAACAAATAAAACATAAAGTTAAGTGTAATCTAAAATCGACAGTGGGTAATACGTAGAGGAACCGATCAAATATAAAATTACTCAATTTTTTCTCCGCTCTTTAATTCTCTTTAAGTAAGTTATAAGTTTATTCAGTTTTCTTGAAGATATTCTGCATTAAAGACGTGAAAATCTGCTCGCGCAGCTCAGAAAAAAAATCGATTATTAAAGAAATTTCAAGTGTAAAATAAAAAATGTAAAATCAGAATCGTGAAAAATTATTTTTTTGCAATATTATTTGTTTATGTATTTTAGTTTATAATTTTTTCTTGTGCTTTATAATTTATACCCGTTTGTTGTGAATTAAGTGTGATCATTAATCTTGTATCGAGTAAATTAGAAAGGCTTTTATGAAAAGACAGTGATATTTAAGTGAGAAATAATCTATTTAAATCGCAATTGTGATTGTTTTTGTGAGTGATAAGATATTTCAAGGCAAGAGACATACAGGAAGGGAGAGAAAAAAAAAATCGATAACATAACGTCGTCGGCACTAAATGTATATTATAAAATAATAATAGCCTAAAGCAAAAGTGCTTATTTTAAATTCTATTGATTATAATCTGAGTCTAATAAGACAAAGAATTTTTGTGTAAGGGTTGAATTACAAGTAATATCTAAGAATGGATTAAAAAGTGTTGCGCAAACAGAAACAACAAAACAACAATTTTTTTTTTGCAGAGGTGAGTTTCATTCATAACTTTATTTTAGTTGAGTACGACACAACCCACATTGTATCGATTTCGATAGAACCAACAAAAATAAAATATAATAAAAAATGTGGAAATGACTTGGCGTAGATTAAATTATTTCTTTTTGCAAAAATGGCAACTTGTTGGTCGTATGTCATAAAAGCAAATGCAGTTTTTATTATTGTGAAAAGGTGTCATTTTTTGCTCAATGACAATTCAGGTGGAAAATGTAGAGCAACTCGTGGGAAAAGCGCTATGTCTCATGTCTTAAAACTTCAAAAACATTAACGCTTTTCTCCATCAGCAAATCACTTTCACACATTCTATTATTGTTGTTTCTGTTATGTATTAATGAACTTCTCTACATTTGCATTTATTCATGTTGCTCATTTACCGGTTAATACATAACAAATGAGGAGATTTGGAGGAAGTATGTTCATATAAAATTACAACGCATTTTCTCTTCTCAATTGAGATATGGCACGATGATAAGAAGTTTTATTGATCGAACTGGACTGACGTAACGTTATTCGACAATCTAATCTTTGCAATCAGTTGTTGCTTTTAATGTACTTCATAATAACAAAATACAATTCATACTTTGAATTTTGGAAATGGACATGAATTGTTGAGTATATCTTAGATTTATGCACAAAAGGTCAACTTAAGCTTTCTTATTTCTCCAGCATTATCCAAAAATGTATGCTCAGTTTTCAATCTTAATTCGTCTTTCTTTTCAAAAGAATTGTAGTAATAACTATTTTTATATATCAAACTTATTTCTCGACGGGATTTGAACCGTTCACCGAAGATTTAATGAATTTTCTTTTTTGCCCAGCGTATTCTGGTGAATCTACCAAGTATAAACAAATCATTTAATTTTAAATGGCAGAACCTCAATTATGTTTCATTTCCTTCCTTTAATCTTCAAAAAAACACTGTTATTTAAACCTATCTGTCATAAACTATGACAAATAGTAGTCGAAAAATCCATTAACCTTGACAATTTGAAAACGTAAACACGAGCAACCTTGAAAAAATATTGATAGCTGCTGCATCAGAATTATTGATTAGAAACATTTCTTCTTCTAAGTCACTGAATTATTCACTCTATAATTGAGAACAACTACACTATCCTTTAGTAAGATCTACTGGACATTTATATTCTGTCAGCCAAACTGAATCCTAAACTCAATAATTATTGAAACAATCGCACTAAAATCATTTACATTCTTAATTAAATGTAAGCAAATACTCCAACTTTCTCATGTATTTTTCCCGCGATAAGAATACTTACTCGTGTTTATCGCGTTTCCATTTTATTACTGTTCGGTTTTCAATTGTGCACAACTAATTCCACAAAAGACATTTCTTCTATTGAAATTTTATTTCATTAAATGATCGATTTTGTCCCCAGTTTAAGATTGATTGATGGTGCCATTGACTTATTTTTTTTGCGACAAACTTTAATTAAATTGCTCAGTCAAAATAGCAGCAATGTGTCTTTGTCTTTTCCTCTTTGTCGCTCATTTATCTCTATGAAAAAATCATTTAAACAGATAACAAGAAGAATAAATGACAAAATTTGACAAAAAAAAAAAAAACAGTCGCTCTTACCTGCATCACCTGCCCGTATTATTTTTTTCTGTTTTGAATAAAATCGGCAACCTGTTTTGTGTATAACATGATGCCTCCCATTCAACTCTACTCTTTTAGTCTTTATTTTTATAATAATAACATGAAACTCAGAGTATAACTACTCTAATGCCGTTTATGATTAATGCTACGGTTGAGTAATCAAGCGAATATTCAATGTTATACAGTCATGTGACGTAAAATATGCAATAGTCCCAAAGCATTGCGGTATGTTCAAATTTCATTCCTTTACGAAACACAATTGCCAGAGTGTTATTTAAAAGCAAGTAGCTAATGTTACACTCTACAGCTTGTCCAGTCAATATTTTTTTATTATTTTTTGTAGCTTGAGCTTCTTCTTTGCTCTTTTTCGGTATTCGATTTCATGGTTTAAATTTTGTAATTTGCTTAAATTTTGTGGCGAATTTGGGCAATTTAATTTGGTTTTTTTCTGTGCAATTTGCAGGCACAGTTTTAAATTGCACGAATTTAATTTTTAATGGTTTTAATTCTTTTTTAGATGAGTAGATATTTTGTTGGCTTCTTAGCTTCTTTTAATTCTTCGTCTAGTCATGTCTAGGTTTAATAAGATTTTTAAACCTGTTGAATTTAGTGCCACAAAGTGTTTAAAATTGTGTAAATTTTAATTAAATTGACAGCTTTAGAAGGCTTTATAACGGTAATGTAGTCTTCGTCAAGTGGCTTAGAGATTCATTTATGTTTTCTTTATCAGCAATAGCCTCTACCGAGTCTCAAGAATCCTATATTCCTGTGCCAGAGTCACAATTCACTTCCATTTAAGTCATACTGTCAAAATTACATAGCTTTTCGCTTCATGTCGAATCACATTCCATGACTGACTTACATTCCCTAAACATTGTGTAAATTTATGCCTTAATTATCTTAGGAGGTGCTAAACAACAACCCTGACAACAACAATCAACATCATTTTGGTATTAATTACTCATCAATATTAGGCATCATTCCCTTGATAACTAGCTAATTGATTTACAAGACGTAGGCGAATAAATGGTAATGAGAATTTATAGTGATAAAAAATTAACTTTTATCAGTTTTTATTAGTAAATTACTTTGACATTTCAATTATGACTCATTCACACAGTTTTTCAATGTATTAGCGATAAGTACATAACAAATAAGACAGAGTACATAGCAGATAAGTGCAAAATATGATCGCTTGTTGATCATAGATTTAAAGACTTCATAGATTTTCAAGGCACAAGTATTTTTTTGATAGCTGTTTGTTTTGTCTGGATTGTAATTTGATATAATAAAAAAAATTCACATGATGTCACATCTCTGACTAAATTGATGCATTCATTTGTCATAACCTACGATATTCCAGAACATTGTCTGCCTACATGCAAAGCTGATTTACTGGAGAATATAAAAACCTCTTTCAATCGAACTAGATTAAACGTAGATTAGAGCAGAAAAATTGATTTACTTAAAAGCTTAGAAACTAGTGAATTTTCATTAATCTCAATCCATAGTAAATCTAAAGTTATAACTTTAAACAAAGTCCACAAAACAACTTTTCTCTCCCGTCACAATCGCTCGATAAAAACGTCTAAAATTTATCAGCAAAAACACCAAAATTGATGGCAATTTATTTGCTGTGTTTCATTCATTTCCCTATCTCGATTTTGCAAAGAATTTATTTATCTATCAATACACTCGGACAGCACTGCTCTTTTTCCTTGGAAAGTACATTAAGTGGAGCACGATAGCAGTACATTGCAAAATTGATGAATTTATATAAAAAGTAAATCTTGTTCTTCTTCTCTCTTCAATACTTATTATTAGTTTGATTGTGAGAGAAACAAGCTAGCTAGTTGTCTGGGGAAGGGAAGAGCAGCACAGCAAGGAAAAAGTTTCTCATGTTTCAATTATAGATTCGCTTTGAAAAGCGTAGAAACTTTCAATTGAAGCTAAATATTGCTTTTAAGTCATCGTCATGTAATTATCAGAGAATTACGATCTCTGAAAATCGTGCCTTCTCAGTAAATTTACCTTTCAAATGCACAGCTCAATTTTGCTGCCGCTTATTGCATTTTTTTTTTATATAATACATCGCCTAAATGCTTATTTGATCAAATTGAAATCGTAAACATTGCTATGCTAATTTAAAATCAATTTACTTAGTCGATAGAGACCAGGCAAGGTCAAAAGATCTGGCAAACAGAAAAATTTTGATTTATTTGAAGATTATTTGTGTACCACTTGTATTCATTTTGTTCAGCTACGTTACTCCACGGCTTGAATCGTTAAAAGAACAGTTTAATCGACTTGATTTCGGATAGAATCTATGTTTTTTGTTGTTGTAATGTTCTGACGTGTTTTCTAGGAAAATGATTGGATATTTTATTCATTTTGTCATCCGGAACCACTGATTCACTCAGGTTTCTAGATAGAAATTATTAAATAACCTTGAAAATTATTTTATGTTATTCTTGCCATTCAAAAGATCATTAAAATGTTTATATTTTGCTATGAATTTGTGTTGTTGCAATAAAATTGCAAAATTAAATCTCGAAGTGAGAAAACCCACGTGGACGTTTAAAGACTAAGTGCATTTAAATTTGTAAAAACCGTTAAATTTGATTTAAATATTTTATGAGATATAATACATTAAATCTCAAACAAAGTCAATTTAAATCATTCATTCTGACTTATTTATCTGTAAATTATTATTATGTGGAGAACCACAATACAAATGACCAATTTATTCTGGATGTAATGAATAAATTAAGAATGATAAATACTTTTTTGTTATATTAAGTTCCAATCGGGAACGTTTCATCATTTTTATGACAAATAATTTACTCATTACATACTATTTTAGTCTCATGACTTTAAAAACTCATCACTCTGACAAGAATAATGCATTATTGGCAAACTGAAATAAGATTTTACATCTCTTTTGACTCGCATCTTACTTTATACCTTTTTCTACGATGAATTTTTATGACAAGAAAAAAATGTTGATCGGCATTTGTCACTGATTGCCAGTTACAAAGACAGAGAGAGCACATTGTAAAAGAAATTGAAATCTACGCCTTTTCGTCCATTTCCTTTTCAACACCTCATTAAATATTTAAATTTTGTTTTCATTTCTTTCGTTTTGCAGCAAAAAAAATAAACCTGGAAGTGAGAAGGAGTACCAAAAAAAGAAGGAGAAGAAGCTGAAAAAGGAACAAGAGAGAATAATAATCATACAATAAAAAGACAAAAAAAGAAACATAAGACACAAGTCATTGAGGGAAGAGAATTCTTTTTTTTAACAAGACCGGTGACAAGGGAAAATTTCTTCAAAGATGAACGACGATGATAAGAATTCATCAGTACGCGTTGCCGTCAGGTAAGAGAAAAATACTTTTTTTGTTGTCGACTGGACCCTTGGAAAAGTTTTTGAAACTGAAATATTAGCGTGAAAATTTCTGGTCATATAAAGCAGGGCTGATAAAAATCTTAGAAATTCCCTTGAAGGGACAAAAGCATCATTTGGGATTTGAATAATTTTAAATAATTTACACATTTCTGAAGGTTGTCGTGAAATTTTTGTTCCTTTCAAAGGCAAAAACAGAACAGATTTGTCTACCAAGAAATTGAAGAATGAGAGAGATTTATGTGCCATGTGACAATGAACTGGCTTTTTTGCTCTCATTTTTTTTCTATCGCGTGCGTTCATATGCTATGTGTATATACTTATTTTTAAAAATAATATCGTAATAAACACACAACAACTGCCGCTAAATTTAGCATCAAACGTGTCAGACTTTTTTTTTTCTCTTCTGTGTTACCGCAACTATGAGGAAATCTGAGAGTTGGAAAGATTTATTAAAGAAATTTATTAACTTCTTAAGATTCCTTTATTACTCTTAACTAGTCATAGGGATTCTTCACTTCCGTAGATTGTTTAGATCACATGACATTGGGTTTATCAGGTATGAGTGATGCTTCGCAGGTATCAAAGAAATTTGAATGATTTTTGAGTCAATATTTGAAGGGTTTAGCAAATATTTTGGGACTAGCTATTTACTTATACACAATTTTGTAGACTGTTATATTCTGCGGTGTTTTTGAATCTTACATTCTTATACTCATCCAACTGATTAAAGGTTTAAGACATTTTTTACAACTTTAATTCCATCATTACAACGAAAATTAAAAATTTTATCAATAAATGTTAAAAATTTATGACTTAACTGACTATTTTGGTCAATAATCATGTAAAATATTAAATTTTATATTTAGCTGTCATTAATCCAGCCATAAAATGCACGATTCCTTTCTGAATCTTCAAAACAATCGGCTTATAATGAAAATTTTGCAAAATTTTATTAAAATGCTTCATTAGCTGCAAAACAAGAGTCATTTTGAGGACTTGATGCACATGACTTTTTCAATAATCATATTATAAAGACGAATATTGCATGCATAATCAAGAAAACAATATTGCATTTATCATCAAGTGACAATATTAATCCTGGTGATGCTTGCAGCAAATATTAATATTTGCATCTTTTTAGAAATTATTTAATGCTTCTACTGTCTACGTTTAAGACGATATTTATATGTTTTAACGTTGAAATGCTTAAGTTTTTAGATATTTTGACTTTAATGAACCCAGAATCATGAATAACTGTGCATACAATTAAGATCTAAGCCTAGACAAAACCTTAACAAACAATTTTTCATTAAAATATTAATTAATTCTAAACTCACAAAATTCACTAGAAAAACACATTGACAATGCTCTACCTTAGAAGTCAAACAGGAAGCTTAAATGGTCATCGACACTAGCATTACTTTTATATTTTTTTTTCTTCATTGCTTATTGCGTGCAAATCGCAAAATGTAATGACATTGGCCAATAGATTTATTATAATAGATTGTGTGAATAACGAGCTTAATAATGACATTGTCTAGCTATACAGCCTATCTCTAGTTTCATCTAATGAAGGTTAAGCTATTTTAAATCAATATCATCTTCATTCCTAGGTTGAATTTTGCCTGATCAGATTCCCTAAACTCTCACAACTTCCATAAATTCTTGTGGTAAAAAAAAAAGTTTCACTGCCATACTTTCTGCGGTAAATATAAGATGCTTGCATTATTACCTCATTCTACACGACTTAATTCGGTAACAAAAGATTAACAGTGAGACTTCCTTTAATGTACATTGAGTACATGCGGTTGAGTGAGTGAAAATTTATTGAATTTTATGAATCAATGTCATATTTTAAAATGTCTGCAGCAAGATTGTCATAAGGAAAGATTTAATTATCTTTTCAATCATTTGCGTAAAGGTAATATTATAAAAATAAACAAATAATATGGTTCGTAAGCCTACATGATCTGTAAGCCTCACACGCAATTAATACAATCACTCAATTTTACGGTGTCAATTAGGCTGACGTAATTTCGATGTTTTTCTATTTTTGGCAATTAAGCAAATACTTTATTGTGGTAATGTTAATTGCCTTTTCGATTGGATTGAGTGCCAAACATGATTATTTTGAGGAATTTATTGATTTATGTTTGATGGACAAATCAATCGATTCGATGAGAAAGTTGGTAAATTCAGATTAAATAGCTACCAAGATCTACAATGAACAGCTCCAGACCCTCCACATCAGTCAGCCATAAAAAGCAAATGATTCCACAATTAACAATTAGTTCCAGATTCAATTCAATTATCAACACCAAAAGTTTATCACGATCTTATCAGCATAATGTCAAAAGCATTTAAAAACTTCTCGCCCAACAACCACGTTCATCAGATAAGCCGACAAATTGATTTTTCCATTCATAGACATTTTATTCATTAACACGACCAAAAGTGCGTATCAGTCATCAAACATGTCGCTGCTTACTTCATACATCTTTCCATATTTAAAATATATATATTCGCTATGTTAAATGGACCTTGTAATTAGCGATTTTTGCAGAAAATGTTAATTAATGCCGACCGACCGAAAAAAAAAATCTCTTTTGAAATTTCAAACGCTGCACATTTTAAATATTTTCGTGCTCAAAACAAAAAATGCAGCACAGCTCCAATGACAAATTAGTGAATTTAAAAAAATGAAATAATTCCTTGACATCAAAGAACGAGCGAGCTATAGACAGACTTATGGCATCATGCTCTCCCTTATTTGTTTTTAATTTTCCTTACTTTATTTATCTTTTCATGGTTTTTGTGTGTTGTTACAACTCTTTTTAAGAGATTAAAAAGAACTGACAACATGCATCCAAAAAATGTCGTAGGATGAAGTCACGGTAAATCATTGCTCTTAAAAATGTTACAAATTTTTGTTTTTTTTTTCTTCTCATATTTCACGTTGAGTCAAAATAGCTTCAATCTCTTCCCTCACTTTTGTTTATTCGCTCAGAACGACAAGATTTTAATTGAATTAAAAAATGCGAAAGAATGAGATTACAAATTGCTTGTTACGGACGATTTTTTCCCGATGCATTTTTTAATATTCATTACTGTGGCTATAATGAGCATTGCGGTTAGTGAAATCATACGTATCATGAGAGAAATAATTTTACTTAATTAATATTTAAGGCACGCGTTTTAGGAGAAGAAAAAAAATGTGAAAAGGGGTTCTTTCCGTTTCTCTGCTTCGCTTTTATGTTTGTTTGACATTTTTAAAAATAATAATTTAGATTGAATGAAATTCTTTTAAGTGTCTTCCGTGCTGTTTGTTATTTTTTGGAGCAAAAAAAATAAGATAATTTGAAAAACTTAATTATAAAAGTTGACTTTTTAAGGTATCGAACCAATCCTCTTCAAGAATTTTTTGTAATTATTCACTTCATATGATTATGAAATTTGGTTAAAAGTCTTACTTAAGCTTTTGAAGTTACTAAATCACCCAACGTTCTCAAAAATCACTTTCCTTCCTCAAAAATAACTGCTTTACAATTCCACATAGTAGCTAATGACTCAACTTCATCTAACGCACATCCAACTTTGAAATTTGTATAACTTCATATCATCCGCTTCATATATTGTTGTTTATAAATATTTCTCAAAACATATCCACTACAAAAATATTAAATATAAATAGCCGAGATTTGTTCCTCGATTCACAAGTCAACAAAATGTAGACAAACGAACCAGATTTTTTTTTGCCATGCAATTGTTTTATTTTGCAAGTTATTTTTTTGCGAAAACTTAATTTTGTTGATGGATTTTATTTCTACACTCTCAACTAACACACAGCATGGTCTAGTGAAATGTGCAATGTAAACTTTTTGCTGCATCATGCTTTTCGGTTTCATTTTTTTTGCCATTTCTATATTGTGAATGAAAATTAAAGCGGGAAAAATGGATTTTATGTATCAAATGCTACAAACGGAAAGAACCTTTAGACATTTTAATCCCTCTTCCGTGTTTTATTTTGCATCTGATGTATCTTTTTTTTCTATGACCAAAGATGGGCATTTTTTTGTGTTTGTTTGGAGCCGATGTGAAGGTTGGTGTTAATAAAAAAATATTGACTGTGGTCTATGAAAAGAAGTCAATTAATTAAGGCTTATGAAGAGATCCATTGAGTTGAAATGTTTACAAAATAAGATTTGAACAAAAAATTAAGCTTTGAACTGTAAATGTCGGATTTGAATGCTTAATAATACAGTTGGAGACCAAAATGTGAGTCTAGCTTATACTCTGGCTTGGTAGCTGGACCACAATACTTTTAAGTAGCCAAATAAATTGAGAAACATCCAGAAACTAGATGAAAGTGTAGTCCGGACGGTCAGTCTTTCAGTTCTACTATAAACTGCTAATATATCCGTCCCATATAACTTGCCAATTTAGTAAATAATAAAAATCATATTCCAAAATTTTTCATAATAATTATGAGCCTTATATTTTAGTCTTAGACTCATTAATATCCAAATAAGTCTAAAAATTTCTACCGTAAAAATAAGCATCTACGCAAATAGAATCCAAATCGTTCAATGACTTCAAAAAAATAACAACAACAAATTTCATCCCACTTGCCCAAATCGAACCGAAGCTAAAAATGAAACAAAGAAACGGATTCACTCAATGGAATTTAATTTTACTGATGCCATTTCATCTCTTATTGTTTTTTTTGCATGCAATTTTTTTCTTGGTGTAATTTTCATTGAATTTAATAAGCATCCACTGAATTTACTTTGATCTTTTAGAAGCGTACAATTTTTTTCTCATTTACTCTCTCGGTCGCTTCTTCTTGGAACGAAAATGAATCTATAAAACCAACAAGCTAAACTGAAACATGAATGTAATTTTTTGTGTTCATTTCGGAGTACACGAATTTTTTTCAATACACGCTGTTGCTGGCTTTATAAAAAAAATTG